GATAACTCAAAAACGAATAATGCTATCGACACCAAACTTTCACAAGTTTTTTCTTTTGTGCCAAGGACGAACCCTATTGTTATTGGACTAATTCGGACAACGGGTTCGGGTAGCTGCCATACAACTCAAAGAGTTTATTTTAAATATTTCGAAAACTAATAAAGCTATAAATATAAAATTTTGTATACATGTGTCCAATTACATTTTACACATGCTCTAAAAATTATAATGGGATAGCTGCACCGGTTCGGGTGGCTGCCATACAACTCCAACAGCAAATTTTTTATATTCGGCAAAATAATAAAGTCAGATTCATGAAACTTGGCAGTCATGTGTCCAATTATAGGTCAAATATATTTCTGAAGTTTTAGAAGAATTGCTTGACAGGTTCGGGTACCTGCCATACAACTCCAGAAGCTAATTTTAAATATTTGGAAAAATAATAAAGTCAGATTCATGAAACTTGGCAGTTGTGTGTCCGATTGTAGATCAGACATATTTGTGAAGTTTTAGTGGAATTGCTTGACAGGTTCGGGTACTTGCCATGCAAGTCTAAAAGCTTGTTTTAAATATTTGGAAAAATAATAAAGTCAGATTCATGAAACTTGGCAGTTGTATGTCGAGTTATAGGTCAGATATATTTCTGAAGTTTTGGTGGGATTGCTTGGCAGGTTCGAGTAGCTCCCATACAAGTCCAAAAGCTTATTCTTAATATTTCGAAAAATAATAAAGTCAGATTCATGAGACTTGGCAGTCGTGTGTCCAATTATAGGTCAGATATATTTCTAAAGTTTTGGTGGGATTGCTTGGCAGGTTCGAGTAGCTCCCATACAAGTCTAAAAGCTTATTCTTAATATTTGGAAAAATAATAAAGTCAGATTCATGAAACTTGGCAGTTGTTTGTCCGATTATAGATCAGATATATTTGTGAAGTTTTAGTGGAATTGCTTAACAGGTTCGGGTACTTGCCATACAACTTCAACAGCAAATTTTTTATATTCGGCAAAATAATAAAGTCAGATTCATGAAACTTGGCAGTCATGTGTCCAATTATAGGCCAAATATACTTCTGAAGTTTTAGAAGAATTGCTTGACAGGTTCGGGTACCTGCCATATAACTCCAGAAGTTAATTTTAAATATTGAAAAAATAATAAAGCCAGATTCATGAAACTTGGCAGTTGTGTGTCCATTTGTAGATCAGATATATGAAGTTTTGATGGAATTGCTTGACAGGTTCAGGTACCTGCCATACAACTCCAAAAGCTAATTTTAAATATTTGGAAAAATTATAAAGTCAGATTCATGAAACTTGACAGTCGGATGTCCAATAATAGGTCAGACATATCCGTGAAGTTTCTATAGAATGTCTTCACATGTTCGAGTAATTGCTACACAATAACGAAAGGTGCAGGGTATAATTCAATCGGTTTATACCGACTGAAACGTTTTTACTTGTTATATATATATATATATATATATATATATGCAAATTATTAACAAAAAATTCCACATTAAAATTTCAAATTTAATGCTTAAAAAAATTTTTTCTCCAATAAGTTTTTAATCTTCATTGGAAATATTTATTTTATAAAAAGTAAACGATTTGTTATAAATTAAAAAAAAATCTATTCAAATTCAATTATTCCGACAAGTTATTTATATAATAAAAAGTGTTCTAAAAACATTTTTTTTAATGCTTTCACTACATTGCTAAAATATGTGATGCTTAATTGTATTTTGAAAAGTTTATTTTTTAATTAATTACCTACTTACTTATATTGTAATTAAAATTCAATTTCAAAACGTAAATAAATTAAAAAAAATCTAATTAAAGAGATTTTTTGTTTTTATGAAAATAATTTATTATATTCTCGGAAAGTTGAAAAAGTAATAAGAGTATAACACTTATCAACTAATTATATCGATCATTTTTAATTGCTCATTTGTACGCATATAGGTACACAAGTAATAAAAATTTGATAATATTAAAAGATAATAAAGAAAAAAATAATATTTGAATTTTTTGTTTTTAAGGAAAATATGTACAGTGAAGTCTCTTTTAGAAGTTTTTATTGTTTTTTACATATGCATAACTAGCTATAATTCTAAATTTTTAAAGTAAATTTTGCATATTAGGTGTGTACGCATGCAAAATAAGTTTGAAATATGGGCAATTGGTATTGTTAAAACCTTTGCTATCTTTATAAAAATTCTGAAGTGATTGCATAAAGCTTTTGTAATTAAGTATTTTTATTATTTAGTATACAATATATTTCTAAAATAGCTAAGAATGAAAATCGTAAATCTAAAATACTTCTATCTTATTATAACAGGCTTCTCACTAAAATTGCATGAAATTAAAAGTATTTAAACCAATTATGTAACTTTTTTTTCATAATTACCTAAAATATGTAAGTATATGCAAAAGTTGCAAATGTTTAAGAAGCTAATCCGTCTTGCTTTTTTACTTTCAAGACAAAACTACGAACGAGTCCATTATCAACTTGAGCATGCCTACTTATTAGTTTTTTTAATTTCTTTTATAAAATATAAATTTTTTGAATTTTTCAATTTCTTTGATTCAATACAATTAAGAAAAAAAGTTGTACAGGTAACTCTCCCATAACGCAGTTCAGAAAATGCGGAAAATTTCCTATAACGCGGTACTCCCAGTAAGCAAATTTCAAGAATTTTTTTAAAAATAATATTCTAAGAAACTTTTTAAAAAACTTTAATTTGCATTAAGTAAATATTTATTTAACCAATTAAGGTAATTTTATCAGAAAAATTACCTATCTGCATTAGTTTTGTCTGTTTATAGCCAAATAGCTAGAATTTAATTGAGATAGAATTTATAGTGAGGGTAGAAAAGAGTTTTTCCCGAACATTAAATTTTGAAAAATTTTTTGGAAGTTTATATTTGTCTCGTCATTAAAAGTAAAGAAGTTGTGAGAATCATATAAAAAATTTTTAAAACATTTGTGAAACAATTTTTTATATTATATTTTGTTAAATAGTGTTAAAACCTAGTTTTTTATTAGAAACTAGATTATTAGATCTGTAGTTAAAGTCCCCTACAGTGCAATTTCCTATAACGCGGAACTTTTCAGAAACCTATTGACCGCATTGTAGTAAGGTAACGTATAATAGCAATAAAAATACACACTCAGTTCAGTTTGACTTGTGCGAATTAAGATTAGAACAGAACTGGTTTAGTTTTTTATGAATATTGATTAATGACGTCGGTAACTTTGAATTATAGTAATAAACAAAACAAAAATTTAAATAAAAAATGCAAATATTACAAAACAAATAAATTGAAAAACAAATATTTTGTCAAAAAATTTTATTAATTAATTTTCTTAGAATTTTTTTTTTTTTTCAAAAATTTTTATATAAAATTTTTATAATCTACATTCGTATCGTAAAAAATCAATTTTATATTCATGTTTTAAATTAAGATGTAAAAATGTTTTCACATATCAATCATGTGATTTTTTTTAGCGAAAAAATAATTTATTAAGAATAGAAGAAGAACAAATAAATTATAATTTACGATTCAATGTGAAAATTTTATTTCATTCTTTTCTTATTTATTTTCGAAATTTTTAGCACAATTAAATTTTTGTTAACACTATTAAGAAAAAAAAATAAAAGAAAAAAATATTTATGAAATAACATTGGTCCCATACTTATTTCAAAATTTTGGAAAATTTTATTTTAAATATTTATAGAAAATAGTAATATTGTAGGTAATTGGGAGGAATTTTGAAAAAATTGTGCTCATAGTTGATCATATTTATTTTGGTTTTAAAAAAAAAATTTAATTTCGTTTGAATGAAAAACTCAAATGTTTACAAAAATTTGCATGAATCATTCAAATAATTTTTATTTTAAATTTATTTTTATTAATCAAATTTAATAAGTTCATAAATTTTTGATTTTTGTAATATTTTATCCTGATTAATTCAATAATATGACATTTATTATTTTCCATTTAGCATTTAATATATTGAACTCAATTGCATTCTCTGTAGTTTATTAATTTTTTCTTAGATTTTCGAAATAATTTGAAAATAAATTTATAATAAAATGTAAAAGTAAACTAAACAAGTAATTAAAAATTATAACCATTCACAATGGTTTTAAACATTAACTCACACAATGGTATCCTTCAGGTGTCAGAAAATTTGTAGTTTTCCTTTTGCATTTTTAAAATTATAATGTCTTTAGGTTAACAAACCCTCAGTATATACATGGACATACTTATGTTAGCTTTTTATCTTAAAGTAATTAGAAATTTCAATTTTAAATTAAAGAAATACTTAATATAAATTTAACAAATAAAATTCACCACGGAAATTAATAAATCGCAAGATAAAAATTTTAAATTTGCTCTCATTTCAAAATATTTCAGAGAATTACTTAATTTGGGACGCTCTCTTTTACGCATACCCAATGGATACATATTTTTTTTACTCTTTATAAATTCTTTTCAAATTTTTGAAATAATGAAAATACTTCTAAAATTAATTTTTAAAGTTTATGTTGTTATTTCCTCATTAATTCAATTCTATGGTCAAAATTAAATTTGCAAAATCATCGCCTGAAATTAAAATATCGAATGGTTTTCGAATTCTTTGCAATTAAAAATTTGATGGCACACAAAAAATTTGCAAAGAAATTGAAAACTTTAGATGCTTGCCCCAATTTGTTCAAACAGGCTGAAATCAAAATTGTCTAAAGAATCATACCTGAGTCTGTTGTTCTTTTCAAACTCTTTAATTAAATTAGAGTTTATAATAAAGTTGGAACTGAAATTTGTTATCTTTGTTATTATTCTAATTTAAAAATGAATTTGTGTAATAAGGCAAATTTTATTTAAGAACTTTTACATTATCTCTATTACGAGTACTTACTCAGCCCTTTCTTAAAATAAATTATGAGAAATTAATTGGTTACTAATGAAACTTACTTATACTTGTTTTTATTACTACAGGCACTGAAGAAGTTCCAGTCCGATCTGTTCTAACACGTGTAGCAACACAATTACATAAAGCATTAAGCGAAAAAGGTTTAGCATTTTTAGTGAATCATGGAATTTCCGAAGAAAAAGTAACATTTAATAATATTTTAGTTGTCTTCATATGTAAACTTAATATTTTTTAATTTCTCTTACTCATTTTAAAACAAAATTGCAGCTTAAAGTAGCATGGAAATATTTAGATGACTTTTGTGAATTACCAACAGATGTAAAAGAACATTATATAAGGCAAAAAGATGATAATCATGGTTATGTTCAACCAGGGCAAGAAAAATTTGATGGTAAAACACCAGAGTTACGTCATTGCTTTAATATATGCACATTAAGTGCTAAACATTTACCAGAAGAACCATTGCCAGGTTTTGCTGATCATGTTGCTGGACTAGCACAAGATTTTAAAAGTTTAGCTGGTTTTTTACTTCAAGCAGTTGCACTTGGTTTGGGTAAGTGCTGTCATTTTCATATGTATTTATGGTTTTGAAATTTATTTTTTTTCTCATAGATCTCCAGCAACAATTTTTTGTCGAAAAGCATTCACATATGTTATCCGGTGATCACGATAATGAAACAACATTACGTCTTCTTTATTATCCACCAGTAATTGAAGATAATAATCATTTAGAATTTGTTAAAGGTCGATGTAAATATAGCTATCAACGTTGTAATATGGGTGATCCGGATTTTAGACCAGAAGATCCACCAAGTCGTCGACCTAGTAATATGGATCCAGATGCTGATTTATTAGATGAAATAGATAGTTCGTTGGCCGAGGCTTCATTAAATCCATCAGAAAGAAAATGTGAAGCGAATGGTTGCACCGCCAAACCATTAGCTGGTTTTGTACGTTGTGGTCAACATACAGATTATGGTACATTTACATTATTAGCACAAGATTCCGAAGGTGGTTTAGAAGTAAAATTACCAAATGGTAGTAAAAAATGGCATCGTGTTGGCCATTTACCTGGTGCTATACTCATTAATTGTGGTCAAATATTACAAATATGGACTAGTGAACGATATCCTGCCTTGGTAAATTACCTACATATAACGCATATACTTTTTAAAAATGTAAAGGAGCTTTTTAAAAATGTGGAAATTTTATTTTTATATTGCAGTTACATAGGGTTGTTGTTCCTGAACAAGAGCATATTAGAAATAAAGGTAGACATTCCATTGCGTACTTTTGTCACCCTGGTGAGTTTATTTCAGGCATTTTATTAAATATGTTCAATTTTATCCAATTCAATTATTAAAAAAAACATGTTTTTGTTTAAAATTTTTAGACAACCTTACTATGATATCACCAGATGATTTACCACATCATGAAATCGAAGAAGACTGCACTAATAAAAAACCAAGAAAAAAATCATTTCGAGCCGCCAAAGAAAAGTATATATACTCTAAATTTATAGATTTTTTTTAACTATTTTTTTTAACGCTCCACGCGGAGGTCTCAAAATTTTAATGGTTTCGTAATAATTTTCAAGTTAATATAATATATTATTGCTTGCTTAGTAGAATCATATTATGCAATCGCTTGCTATTGCGTATTAATAATGTTAAAACTTGTTCTCTCATTCATTGTGTGTCTATCTCATAGGTAATTAGTAATTTTTTTGTTAGTGATTACATATTTTTAGTATACTTAACAGATTTCTAAGTAACTGGAATTATTTTTACATCCTCTTACTTTTTTAAATTCTCTTATTAGTGAACAATGCCTTTTTTTTAGTTTAAATCTAAATTTTTGATGAAAACGTCATTTATATCAAGATAACACTAATCAAAAAATTATTTTGAATCCATATTATTTCTATAACATGTTATTCGTTCTTATTTCAGTGGATCACATTTTTCGCGGACGTTTATTTTTACTAATATTTTTGTATCTTCATTGATATAGAAATTTTTGCATACCAATTTTAAAATAAAAGCATTTTATTTTATTTCTTATTTTAGGGTCTACAATGCATATCAGCTGGTCCAAAGAAGATTTAAAGAGACATACGGAGCCTAATATTTCTGCATTCATATTTCATCAGTTTGTGTCTCTCTTTTTCAGTATAGTGTGTATTAGATGATGAAGACTTCATTTTCTTGGATGTGCCTTAAATAAAACAAAAAAAAGAAAAAATTTAAACAGATATTAAGAAAACACTAAATTAAATTATATCAAAAACAAAAAAATAGAAACAGAAAAAGAGGATATTCTTTCGTTTTATTTGAAAATAATGAAAAGTGAGCTTACATTTATTGAACAACCTGTGTACTTCTAGGCAGACAATTCAAGTTCGAATTTTTTGACTGGCATATGCATTATTGCATTTGATTTAATCTTCATGTGAATATTTTTTTCATATATTAACATTATATAAGAAAAAAATATTCACAAAGCTATGATTAAATGTAGCAGTAATTGTTTAAAGAGTGAACTGATTAATGAAAACTGATCTTTCTGAAAGCAACTAAAAGTATGAATGAATTGAATAAATCTATCATTGAAACGTTAATCTTTAAAATTTAAAACTCTTTTACATATAATAAAGATCTAAGAATTACACTGTAGTAAAGGAACATCGAATATAATTTAAAGAATTCATTCCAAAAAAATTTAATAAGCTCTCCTGAATGTATGCAATATATAAATAATCACATTCATCATAATGTATAACAGTTTTTAGAAATTGTTATATACATATTTTAGAAACTTTGTTAAAGTGTTTTATATCCTTTTCCAAGTTATTATTTTTAATTTTATTTTCTTATGAATATTATAGGCAATAATTTGAGAATTAATAACTTACATATACAATATAAAGAAAATTAATGAGGGAGAAAATTATGGACCAGTTTTTTTTTAATGTTGCATATGGTCATAACTCAATCATGGAAAATTTATGAATATAAATTTTTATGTATTATTTTTGGCAAAAAAATAACTAACTTTATTACTTTGATTACATTTAGTTATGATGTTTTAATGATCCCATTGCAACATTTTTTTTTAAATAAAATATGTATAATGATGATATTATTAATGGAGAACCTTTTTTAATCAATAAAAAATTATTAGATTTTTTGGTTTTTTCTATTAATTTAATTGGGCATATTTTTATTTTGTAATAATGTCATTAAACGCATTTAATTAAACCGATATATACATATGTATATAAAAAAATATCGTTTTTAATTATAATAGTAAAATAAATATAATATGTGCATGTAATTTATGGTTATTAAAAGAATTCATTTATAATGGATAGATGGGAAGAAGCTCCTAAATGAATCATATTTTTTCACTTACAACGTTTTTAACGTTTACATTAAATTTTTACATTTTTAGTTTATAAATCAGAAGTAGGTTTAATATGACAAATGTTATTGATTTTTTTTTATTTTTGTCTAGTGAGGGGCTTTTGTAATGGGTATTAAGTATTAAAGATTACATATTTAAAATGAAGCGTAGAAAATGAAGAAATAAGAAAAAATTGTAACAAAGTAATAGTACAAATTTCTATAATATTTTTTAAAAAATTATTGCCAATTATGCCACATTGTAGGTTAAGAAACCTGAAGTTTCAGTAATTTTGTTAATTTATTTAGTTTAATTAATGCAACAAAAAGTATTTTCATATGCAAATATTGTTATACATTAACATTCGTGAATATTTATTTATCTTATGCGTATGTTAGGAAAAAATGACTATTCAAATTTTATTACTAAATATTTAAAATGCATCCAGAGTCAATTTATGCCCCAATTATTAAATTAAAAAAGAGCGTAATTTTTTCTTACAAAATATTTTCCCCAAAATTTTCAAATCTTTTCAAATAAAAATTTTTTTTTTGTTAGTTTGTACTTTACTGAGAAATTTGTATTAATTTTTTACCTTCCTTTAAAACTTAAAGGCATCACAAGAAATACTTAAATTCCTATTTGGTAAATGGTTTATATATACAAATTTATTGTAACAGCATCATTATGACCGACTTTTGGAAAATTAAAATGAAATGAACAGTAAACGAAAAATGAAATATAAATTTTTTGTTAAAGTAGGGCAAAACAAAATAAAGGATCAACAAGAAAACTTTTCTGTTCCAAATCAACAACAATCACAACTTTTTTTTTTATTGCAAAATCATCATAAGAGTTAAAATCGATGTCAACTTAATTAAACTTTTGTTGAGTAAGGAAATTTTTGTTTTATTTTTTTTTGCATGATTAAAAAGAAAGGAACTCTATATTTCTCATTCTCTTTGAAAATTTATAAAAGTCTATATGTTTGTAATTTAATTTTTGATTTTATCGTGTCATAATGTTAAAGTCAATAATTTAATACGTACCACTTCCCGAATATTTTTCATACCATGTAAAAAATTTAATTTCAGAATCTTATTCTCTTTCCCTAAGCCAATAAAATTTTTAGAAAGTAAGGATAATCAAAAATATTCTGTTACACACTTTTATATAATAATGTATATGCTTACCTATATAATATAGTTAAAATTTTTGTATAGTTCTTAAATAAAATTAAACTTGATTGGGGAGATATAAAATGAACATGAACCATTTACAACAATATTATTGACAAAAAACATCTTTTGGTGATGACATCCTTGAAAATCTCTTTAAAAATTTAGAAAGTCATTTAAATTAATGTAATGAAACCAAGTGTTAAGAACATTTAAAATAAATGAAGTATAATTATTTAGAAAATTTTTTAGTTAATATAAAAATTCGCGATTGTATAGGATAAAATAGGATAATGATTTTAAATAAATTGAGTGAAATAATCAAAAAAAAAAATTTTTTTTTACAAAACTAAAGTGAAAACACCAAATATTTTAATGCTATACTAAATATATTTAATAAGATTTTCAGATTTTGTTTTAGAATATTTATTTGAAATATGGGCTTATGAAAATAATTCTTATTATATTAGGTATGATATTGCGAATATAGCATAAAAAGTTGTAATATTAATGAATAAAAACTTATAGCGAATAATTTGGTTCACTATTTGCTTGATATTGAGATAATTGAAAGGATGTTTACATTAATACCTTTAAAGCTTTCGGTGGGTCAGTTATCGATTTTAAAATATTATTTATAGCGGACCTTTGGCAGAATCAGGTCGATTTTGCATTAATTTTATACTCAGTATAAGGTATGACAATTTTTGTTATATTTTTATTTTTCGTTCATGAAATCATTATACTTTGCATCCGTTAATTGTAGAATGTTATTATCTTAGGACTTACTTTAAGGCACTTTAATTTGTAAAAAGAACGTCACACACCTAACATATTTGTTTATTACAATATAGATACACAAAACTAATTACAAACAGCCACCCACTATATAACAGTAATATTTTTAATATTTTACATACACTCATCACATTTAACTATGTATGTATGTATAATTTAAACAACAATCATGTTATTGAAAAGGTCAAACACCTATGCAAAACTAAATAAATTCTAATAGTATAGCATAACATAGTAAAATTTAAAATTTATAAGTGAAAAGAATTTTAAAGAGTATTCAAAAAATTTCTTAATTTAAAAACTTTATTACTGATTCTCTCAAAATAATAATCACGAAAATTTACATATATAACGAAATATCTTTAAGAACTTCAAGGACATTTAAGGAACATCTGCTCAAAATAATGATGAACTTTTAAATTAAATTAAAATTAATGTAATTTTCATTTTACCTGTTAACATTTTTATATGCTAAGCTAATTTTCATTTTACATATTTAGTGTTAGGTTTTCTTTCTTTTTTGTGTAAAAATCTCATACTTTATTATTAAAGAATGACTAAATAAATTTTTACAATTTTTATAGAGTGGGAAACATTTTAAATACATTCTTGTTTTTGCAAAATAATTTTTTTTCTGACTTTATATTAGAGAACATTATATTAAAATTGGTTTTTATGCTCTGTTGGTAAGGATATTTTTTGTAAAATTTTTCTAAATTTTAGTTGAGAGTATATTCAACAGATAAAGGCGGCATTTGCTAGTAAAATTTTTGAATTAGTTTTTTAAGTAGGGTTAAATTTCTTGAAGGGAATAGAACTATCTGTATAGTTGTTGAATTGAGTATGAGCCTCTTAACTTTTGAAAATCTTTTGAAAATTGTGTTAAAATTTGAATTTAAATTGTTTTCGTTAAGAATTCAAATTAGAAAATAAATTGTTCAAATTATTTTTAAACTAAACCAATAAAAGAAGAAGAATTAATTTCACATATTTTTATATTATTAAAGTTTTTGAATCCTTTTTAAATTCGATGTTTATTGTTGCAGTATTATAGAATCAAAAAGAAAAAGGAGAAAAATAAAAAACTGTCTATAACCTTGAGAATTTTCGTGCGGCCCCGCTAAACAACTAAAGTGTTTATAAAAAAATCAATAAACTTATAGAGCGTGAAAGTGACGAAATGTGGTTGACGACAAAAATGAGCTCTAACATTGCGAAAGTTTGATCCCTGCTCAACCCAAGAAAAAGTTAGCATTCTTTCCATTTCGCTAGTTTACGCTGCAGTATGTTCATTTGAGCATTTTGCATAGGAATAATTAATTCATTATCAAAGAAAAGAAGAATTAATGACGAAAGCATAGAATTTAATGGAAAATTGTCTTAATATTATTTTTTTTTATTAATGATCATGTGAAAGCCGTATAATGCCTCATTTGCACGAGAGAATCTACAAGTATATTCAAAGAATTTAGTTTTTAACGCCACGAAAGGCAAAAATGAATATGATAACATATATGCGTCACAATGCTGTTTTAGTTACATTTGAAGGTGCAGCCCACATAAAAAATTTCATTTTAAAAATTTCCCGTCGCCCGAAAAAGGTTGGTGACCCCTGGTCTGCAGTGTGATGTCTTTCTGCTTGTGTACAAACAAGTATAATAAATTTGATTTAAATTGTGAATTAAAGAAATTTAACGTGAAAAAAATTTAAGAAATTTCTTAAAATTTCGATTTTGTTTGCGATTCAGACGGTTAAAAATTTGGTTCAGGAAGAATTTTAGACAAAAAAAACAATTTTTTTTTTTAAAGTTCAATTTTTTAGCTGTTCTTATTCAGGTTTCTTAAAAATAGTGAAATTATTTAGAAATGAGTTCAAGTCTATGCTGCAATGAAAATTTTATTTCATCAAATCTGAATAATTTTTGCTTTG